CGATGGGAAGCGCCCCGTAACCCCCCGTGCCGGGTTTTTGTCCCACAGGGAGACGCTGCCTGTGACAGGAAGGGGGGTCCCGGCGCTGCGGTGCCAGGTGGGTGCCCGGGGGGTGGGTTTGGGTTTGGGTCAGAGGTCCCAGAAGGTCCCCTGTGCCAGGGTGCTGCTGTGGGACGCCCTGACAGCGACAAGGAGAAGGGAAGCAGTGGGATAAGACGGCTTTGCTTGCACACGGGTGGGTCAGGGAGCAGCAAAAAAACCTCCACAAAACCTGATTTCTCTCTCTCGGGGAGGCTCGGAGCTGAAAGGACCTTTGCTCTTCCCAGCAGGAGCAGCTCCCGCAGGGCCCCAGGACCCCCCCTCGGTGAGGCTCTGGTCCGATTACCTCAACGTGCCCCTGCACCCCCGGAGCGTCCACGTGATCCGGCAGTACCTGCACGATGGGTACGGCCCAGCTCTGCCTCGGGAACCTCTTGTCTTGTCCAGAACAGCAGCCGAGTTGTGCCCTCAAAGAGGGCTTGGGATAAGCTCCTTCCCACCCGTTTCTTCCCACAGGGATTGTGGTTGTCTGGAAGCCTTTGCACAAGGGGAAAGTCTCCTGCAGGATCCCGCCTGCGTGGAGGAGCTGGAGGATCGGCTGCACTTCTTTGTGGAGGAGTGTGATTACCTGCAGGTTCACAGCCCAGGCCAAGCTCCCTTTGCTTTCGAGAAGCCTCCTGCTCAAGATGAGGTGGTATCTGAGGTGCTGCCCTCGTTCCACACAGGGGTTCCAGGTCCTCTGTGACCTCCACAACGGGTTCTCGGGGGTTGGTGCCAAGGTGACAGAGCTGCTCCACGACGAGTACTCGGGGAAGGGAATCCTCTCCTGGGGCCTCACTCCGGCCACGAGTGACGTGGGGGTAAGTGAACCCTAAACCCAGGCCTGGGGCTCGTCTGCACCTTTAAGATTCCAAAGGTTGGATTGTTTTTCCCCCCCTCCCAGGATCCCCAGAGCAGTTTTTACAGGCTGCTGAACACGGCCCTTGGCATCGTCCACCTCTCCCAGCACAGCTCCCTCTTCTGCCCTCTGTCCCTCAGCGGGAGTTTGGGAATCAGGCCACGACCTCCTGTGACATTTCCATACATAAAGTACGATGTAAGTCCTGCTCTTGCAGCTTCTCCCCCTCAGAGTGTTTCCTGCAGCCCTCTGCTTTTAGTGGTGCTTTGCCATGATGCTCAGCAGAGACTCTTTCCTGCCTTTTCACTGGGACTTGGCTTCCAACTTGTCATTTCCACGGCTTTTCCCTACTTTTGAAAACATTACCACGCTTCCTTGGCTGCTGTGCTTTGTCAGTGTGTTGGCACTGAAAAAAAGGCTTTACTGCACCATTCTCCATGCCTGGAGTAACTCCAGGAGTTACTGGAGCCCCAGGAAGCTGCTGACAAGAAAACTGGCACCAGAGTATTTGTTAGGAAAGAGCTGACCTGGAATTACTAATGAAAAACACTGGCTGCTTATCCCAAACCTGGAATAATTCTTACACACTGGCTGCTTATCCCAAAACTGGAATTACTGTTAAACACTACTTATCCAAACCCTAAAATCACTGTTACCCATTGGCTGCTTATCCCAAACCAGGACTGTTACACAGACTCCTTATCCCAAACCTGGAATAACTGTTACACAGACTCCTTATCCCAAACCAGGACTGTTACACAGACTCCTTATCCCAAACCTGGAATAACTGTTAC